GCCAAAAGGAAGTGGAAAAAAATTTGAATAAACAAAACAGTTTTGCTGAAAATAAAACCAGGACTCCTGAACCGCTCCAGCCAGCCTGCTTCCACAGGGCCTTCCTTGCCTGTCAACCCGAACAGCACTTGGCTGGGCGAGCAGCATCTGCCATCCGGCATGTACCAGGTGAGCGTGCAGAGGACTGGCTGGGACTGTGCCCAGCGGGAAAGGGGCAGAGGTGTTGCTGGGAGTGGAGGGAGGCTGGGTTTCCAGGTTTGGGGCTAGGGGTCAGGTGGAGCTAGAAACCGGGATCTCAGGTAACAGCTGGGGGAGGAGTACCTGGATTAGATAGGAGCAGTTCTCTCACTGGCCTTTTCCCGCAGGTGGTTGCCTTCTTAGCAGTAGTCATGGGAACCCACACCCTCAGTTTGCCACTTCAGAAGGATCGTACCCACTGGCCCAGCTGCTGCCTCAGCAAAGGTCAGGACCCCGCTGAGGAGTGGCTGAAGTGGAACACTGTGCTCATGCCTTCCTCAGAGACGGCTAGCTTCACCCACCACCCAGAATCCTGCAGGGCCAGCGAAGACGGACCCCTCAACAGCAGGTCCATCTCCCCCTGGAGTTACGAGTGAGTCTGCTCTCCCCTCCCGAGTGCCTGTATGGGTGCCAGGCAGGGTGTGTGTGTGAGCGGTCAAGGGAGTTCTACCCAGTTCCAGCTTACCTGCCCCTTTTCATCCAGAGATGTCATAAAGGTTTGGGGGTTAGACAAGGCCTAGTCTAGGTCCTAGCTCTGACTCTTATTGGGTGACCTTGGGCCAATTATTCAAGGTTTCAAAGCTCAGGTTATATTTCATCTGTAAAATGAGATAATACCACATAGGCTAATGTGCAGGTCATATAAAATGATGTACGTAAAATCTATACTTAATTCATAAAATTTTGGTTTTCTTCTTTTTTCCTCCTCCTGCTTCTCCTTCCTCATCCCCATAATGGCCATGCTTTTCTAACTAGAATATCAGGGAATCATGGTGTGATATAGGCACAAAGCATCCCCATACCAAATAGTCTACTCTGGGTTATAAATATGCCAGGATAATGAAACTTTCAACTCAGGGGAACAGCTGAGTGGCTGGAGCTGTAGGCGGCTTAACTTGGATCTTGAGCAGTCTTAGTGTTTAACTCAGTGTGCCATACAAATATTATAATTCTCTATTTGTGCCACGATGTGAAAAATATTAGGATGTGCAGAAATGGCAACAATGAAGTAAAATGTTATAAATTAGGGCCTTAGGGATTGCACACATTTTTCTCCTTCTGTCTTGTTCACATAGGGTGTCTGTGTTCCCACTCTCTGTAAGTCTAGTTCTGGCTTAACCTTGGCTTTGGGGATGGATGGAGAAGTTTGGTGAGAAGGGAGAGGGTCAGTTCCGATTAAGACTAGATCCAGGGTGAAGACTCCAGGTCACCATGCTTTGAAGTGGTTTTAGAAGGCTGGCTGGGTCCTGGGCTAAATGTGAAGTGTGGGAGCCTCTCTGGAGAGGCTGGGTGCCAGATGGCTGACTCAGCTGGGGTCCCGACCCCTTGCTGGAGGCTATGAGGTCCTCATAACCACTCAGCTGGTCTTTTCCAAGGTGGGTTCTTTGCAACAGTCATCCCACAAGCTGCTCCTCAGAAAAAATGTGATGATGTCAAGTAAGTGTGGGAAAAGCTGCTGCAGCCCCAGCCCCTTGGAGACTCACAATGTGCTCGGCACATTAAAGTCTGCAAGAAGTACACAGAAAAGGAACCATTAAACTCACTTGGCCACAGACCCCACCTCTTGCAAGGTACTTGTTAGGGAACTCACTTTGGAAAATGCTGTGCTAGCCGAGCCCCAGCTTACAAGGGCTTGTCTGTGTGGAGAATGGTCTTACCACCCAGCAGTTGTTTCCTGCTGGGCTTCTGGAGTCCCAGACCTTTAGGACACCCATTTTTCAAGATTTTTTTTTTTTTTTTTTGTCATGAGATTCTTTCAGAATAAGTAAATAAGTCTCACCATGTAATCTTACATGCACTTAGGATACACAGTCTGGCTGGAGGACTGCAGGACGTGGTTGACAGTGGGGACCTCTGGGGAGTGGGACTGGTGGGGAGACAGACTGTTACTCTTCACTTTATACTCTTTCATGTAAGGGCAGTTTCTACTTTTATCATAATAAAAAAAAAACCCACCCAAAATGTAATAACAAAGAGAAACCTCACGCCAGAGCCCAGCGTGTGTATCAGACAAAAGCGGAGCTGGTCTAGTGGAGACTGAGGCAGGATCCTGCCTACCTTCCCCTGCCTCCCTAATGGTTTCAGGACCAGTTGGAAAGCCAGGCTTCCATCCCTACTCTCACAATTGGGGAAAATAAATCCCGGAGAGGAGAGGGTGGCTTGTTTAAAGTCACCCAGCAAGCGGGTACCAGAGCTAGGGCAAGAAGCCAGGACTTCCAACCACACCATTTCCTTCCTCTGGCATTTCCACCCATCCCGGTCCCTGCTTCTGTCCCGGCCCCTCTACACAGCCAGCCTCTCTCCAGGGTCTGACTGACACGTGCCACTCCCACAGGTTGGACAGGGACTTGAACCGGCTTCCCCAGGACCTGTACCACGCCCGTTGCCTGTGTCCACACTGCGTCAGCCTACAGACAGGCTCCCACATGGACCCCTTGGGCAACTCGGAGCTGCTCTACCACAACCAGACTGTCTTCTATCGGAGGCCGTGCCCCGGAGAACAGGGCGCCCATCATGGCTATTGCTTGGAACGCAGGCTCTACCGCGTCTCCTTGGCTTGCGTGTGTGTGAGGCCCCGTGTGATGGCCTAGTCATGCTGCCTGTGGCTGGTTCCCTGTCAGAACACTGGAACTGGGTGTACAGCTACCTGCCACAGTGAGCCAGGACACCCGAGTGTGCAGCCCCTCCAAAGCAACATCTGAAATAGCAGGATCGTGGGACAGGAAGGGTACTTTGGGGGGAACCGCATTTTGCACTTTTTGGAGTGAATGGGAAATGCAGAGTGAAGCAGAGGGAGCAACAGCTGCTCGAGGCCACTGGGAGCTGATGTTCTGGCATTTCCTCTTGGAAAGGTCTTCAAAGCTCCACCCGTTCCTGAAACCCACCACTCTGCCTCTCCCTTTCCACCCAGCCCCAGCTGCCTTGGCGCAGCACAGATGCTTTCTTGATATTTTTCCCCTTGCTAACAGAGAGATCCCCATTCCATTTATTTGTTCATTTGTTCATTCATTCATTCATTCATTTATTCATCAAATACTCGGTGAGCATCTACTTTGCACACATCCTGGTATAGTTACTAGTCTTCTGACATGGGTGACTCCGAGGAAGATGCTGTTATTGAGCATGGAGAGACTAATCCAAATAAATAATCTGTATTTAAAAGTGGCCTAATTTGTCTTTGGCATTCTGGGGACCCCAGCCTAGTCCTTTCTCCTCCCCAGGCTCAGCCCTTACCTACCACCCTCTTCCTCCTCCTTCCAGTTTCCGCTGTGACCCTGCATCCCTTCCCTTCTCTGGCTCCCTGGCCCACACCCAAACACTAGGGTGGGGGTCAGGCCACTCTCCTGGCATGCTGGAGAGACAGAGTCCCATTGAGGTACTGCGGCAGACACACAGCTCCTCCTTGTCCCCCCAACAATCTGCCTTTGTCCTTCGTTTTGGCTGCTACAGCTGGGTCCTGGGGGTGCTGCCCAGGCCAGTCTCTAGTTCCTACCCTCCCTAAAAGCAAAACGGAGGAAGGATGAGCCAAGGAAGAAGGTTAAGGTTAAGGGAGGGGACACAAACTTCTCTAGGCTTAGGTCTTTGGGGGCTCCTAGTCCAGCCCATTTCTTGGCTCCCCTCCCAGTTCCTGCCTCCCAGTCTCCACAGTCCGTTGACTCCTCTTCCCGCTCCTCCCTTCTCTGAGTAAGGGGAGGGTTTGCCACGCCTCTCTAGCTCCTCCCTTCCCCATGTGCCTCCAGGGGGCTGGTGCAGGCACAGCAGGGCCACCCTGGGCAGCTGGGTGAAGGCTCATCTGGGCATTCCTCCCGTGGCGGCCGCCTTCTCCCAGGACCGCACAACAGGCCTGCACACTTCACTTTCAGGTTTTTGGTAGTGCCTTCCTTCTCCTGTCTGCTTCCCCATCCTGCCAGGTTTCCGTCTTCCTGTTTTCCTTCCTGGGCTGGTGGCAGTGAGGGGCTGTGCCTGGTGGGCCCCGAGGAGATGCTCAGTGCTTTGGATCGTCGTCGAGACGGGCCCCCTGAAGAGGGGGCAGCTGCAGGGCTCCAGGGCTTCGCTGTGGACAAGACCTTTCTCTCCTCCTTCAAAGGCATCTTGCTGGAAACTGAGCTGGTAACAGCAGCTACCCCAACCTGTCTCTTAGCCTTGGCTCCCCTGCTCTTCCCACCACCCCTCTTCCCAGGCTTTCTGGACATCCTTCCTACCCCCAACTGCCCCTCCCTCACCTTCTTCCCGCCTTCTTGATGCCTCTGCATCTGGAGGCAGTTTACAGCAGGTTTCATTTGCGGCAGGAAGGATTGAAGTTAGACAGGACAGCTTTCTGGGACATTGAAGGAATGCAAGATACAGGGACTGGACAGGGTTAACACCAGCCTGACTTTCCCGGGCTCTAAGATGGCCACTTCTTCGTATGTCCAAGAAGTCCAACTATCATAAAGGGCAGACTTCCTTCCACCCCGTTGTATCTGTTATCTATTCCCCATGAACATCTGTTCTTAGGAAAGGATCTTCCCTTAGTCACTTAGCAAGGCAAGTCTTCTGCACATATGTCATCCTACAACGCTAGAGCTGAAGGGGCGCCCAGAATCTACTGTGGGGTATTTGTTTTCTAATCCTTCTTTTTTGCCATGGAGGCATAGGCTTTAGGCCTTGTTGAATAGGTTTGAGGCATCCAGGAGTGGAAAAAAGCGTGGGCATGGGGTGTGTCCTGGGGCGCAGGCTGCTGCAGGGCCCGCGTTCACACCGTCCTCTGTGCCCCAGAAAGACACAAAAGTGCTAAGGTTGCTGGAATGGTAGGATAGGGGTGGCTGGTTATCCCCAAGTTAAAATAATCGAATCCTCCTGGGCTGACAGAGGTAGGAGGCTGGAGACAGCCCTTGGTGGGCAAATGCCCTGGAATATGGCTTCTGTCACCAGGGATGGGGATAATTCCAAGGACAGGTGGTGGGGGCCAGCCCGGGGGAGCTCCTGAGGAGGGGAAGGCCAAAGTCAGGCTATGCCTGTGTCCCCCTCCTGACAAGTCCACACACTCCGTCCTGCAGGCCCTGACCTTCATCATCTTCATCTGCTTCACGGCCTCCATCTCTGCCTACATGGCTGCAGCACTACTTGAGTTCCTCATTACGCTCGCCTTCCTCTTCCTCTACGCCACCCAGTACTACCAGCGCTTTGATCGGTTGAACTGGCCCTGTCTGGTGAGGGACCCTGCCTCTTCCACCCCTTTCTTCTTAACCCAGAGATTTCCTTTCTTCTCCCAGCCTCTCTCCTTTTCCTGAGTCCGTATGGGGGCTGGTCCTCAACCCCAACTGGGCTGCGCCCCGAGCCTGTGCCCTGAACTCAAAACTGCTTTGACCCACCCTGATTCACAGTTGTTGAGTCACCGACAATGAGAATGCACATCCTTTAGATCTGGTATCCCACTCATCAAATGTCCAGCTCCAGCCCCAGCCCTGCCCCCACTCTTCTGGCTGGTGTCCCCCAGACCTGCCCCTTAGCCTCAGCTGCTGAGCCTGAGTCAGCCCCATCCCAGATCCCTGGCTTGCTGTTCTGATTTCTCTGCATTTACTTGCATCCCTTCCCTGAATAGAGTGTGAGCTCCCTCTTTTTTTCTCTCTTAAGTGCTTTATGTGGTGTCCAGGGGCATTTCCATGCAGGGATTCAGGGGATGAGGGGGATGCCCTTGCCCTCTAATTTCTCTCTGACACTGCACCCCGACCCTCCCCACCCCAGGACTTCCTCCGCTGTATCAGTGCCATCATCATCTTTCTGGTGGTCTCCTTTGCGGCTGTGACCTCCCGGGATGGAGCTGCCATTGCTGCTTTTGTGAGTCTAGCCCACCCACCCACCCCTGGAGCTCTCCAGCTCCCTAAGGACCTCTGGCTGGTGCTGCCTACTTGCTGTGCCTTCCCCCAAGTCCAAGCCAGTGCCTGGGGCTCTGGTCCACACCTTGCTCCATACCACTCACTTTCTTCCCCTGAATACTGGACGGCCTTTGTGGTGCCACTCCACTCCTGCTCCACAGGTTTTTGGCATCATCCTGGTTTCTGTATTTGCCTACGATGCCTTCAAGATCTACCAGATAGAGATGGCGCCCAGGGCCACCCAGGGTGAGTGTCTAAGCTCTGGGAGAGCAGATGTCCCTGTCCCAGTTGCTCCAGCTTGACATGCCCTTCCCTGCCTGGCTCCATTTCCACAGGAGACCAGCAGTGACTCCGGGGCTACAGCCAGACCAAGGGGACAGAGCGAACAGTGGAGCTCAGGCACTTCTCTCTTGGATCCACTAGTCCCCCAGCCCATTGTCCTCTACCCCAGATCTACAGAGATGGAGCCTGGCCTGAGAAGTCACGGGACTTCTGTGTGGGCCATCTGGCTCCTGATGAAGCTGGCCTGGGGAGGTGTTATGGAGGGAAGGGTGGGCAGGAAGAAGCTATTCATCCTCAAATTAAAAGAGTCAAATCCTACTGGTCAGTCTTTTTCTTTCCCAGAAATTAGGCATATCTGGAATCCAAGGAATATTCATGGAAATGTTACATGGAGCAGGTCTTGGTCCCTCCTCTGGGACCAGGTCTGAGCATTGAGGAAGTGGGAAGCTAGACTGAAGATGCTGAAGACATCTGTCAACATAAAACTTCTGTGCCACAGCTCTCTGTGTGCCGGGCCACTTCATGGTGTATCTGGTGGAGAGACACCTGGACTTCTCTGTCTGAGAAGGCACAGCCTTCCCTACGTGAGTAAGTGCCACTTACTCACCTGCCACTTCTGCACCCACAGGTTTGTTAGTGGGTTTGAGGCCAGGTGCTTGCCTGGGGTGTATGTAGAACTCCTCCTCGTAGTGTGGGGAGGACTTAACCTGCAGGCCACAGGGGAGAGGTCAGCCTGTGGCATCAGATGAGGGCAGAGGTTACCAAAAGGCCAACACTAGAAGGGCCCTTAAATATCAGCTAGTCCAATGCCCTCATGCCACATAAGAGAAAACAGGCCCAGTCAGGGGAAGTGACAGAGCTCCTAGTGCCTCAACAGTTCTTCTAGATACTATACAGAGCCCCCTGCAGCTCAGAAAAGCTGGCCCAGCCTCATCTCCAGCTTCCTCCACCAGTACGTCCACCTTCCCAGCTTGCCAGCACCCAGCAAACATTTCCTGAATGTCTCCTGTGCAGACCCTGCTCTGGGCCCCAGGGATTCACAGGTGACAGATGGGCCTGACAGATAGGTTGTTGAGTGCTCATAGACTGGAGAAGAGGGAAGTTAGTGAAGGGTGATCATGACTCCCCACAATGAATGCTCTGGGAGAGCTCAGCTCCGGGGAATTTTGGAGCAGGCACTGCCACAGCCTAGAATCAGCGCTGTCTGGCCCATGACAGCCCAGTGCAGCCAGGCTCTCCCTCCCTGCCCAGCCCATAGGGCCCAGCGTGGCCTACCTTAGCAGCTTGTCCAAGTTCACTTGCTATCCCCTCTCTCTAATGCTTGTTTATTCCTGCCCTGAAATGCCTTCCTTCTTCCGGGGTGCTCCTTGCAGATGCAGGCCCCAGCCCCCAAACCCTGCCTGAACCCTGGGACTCTGGTAGAGATGCTTTGCTCTGCTTGGTGATAACCATGAGTCTCTCTTGATCTGACTTCTCCTGCTTTCCATTCTCCTAGCCTCATGTCTCAGCTCCTCACCAGAGTTGGCAGCCTCTCCAGGGCTGGAACCAACATTCTTGTGTTCCTCTGGTCTTTGCTCACAGTTCTCAGGGCTTTATGCACAGCCCATTCTGAAGACTAGTGACTGACCTTAGGGGAGGGTGGGGTCAAGGCCTCAGAGAAGGGATAGAAGGGGCTTTGCCAGGGGAGTCCAGGTAAGGACATGAGAGAGTTGTCAGGAGAGCCTGGCTGTAAGGCCCAGTGGGGGTTTGGATTTGTTTGGAGCAGAATGGGACCATTCCTGTCGCTGAGCAGCTGTGTGATCCAGGCCATACTGTCCCTGGTGGGAGCTCAAAGGTAGCAGAAATGCCGTCTACAGTATATACCTGCATGTGCATCCATGCTCATCTGTGTCTGTGTGAGAGGTCAAAATGATACAAGCGGTGCCCAGGTTTGGTCCATACGGCACATAGGTTCAGACTCAGCGACTCCTGGTCCCATAGCCTCAGGCTGCCCTCATGGTAAGGCATTGACCCACAGAGGCTAGGGTCAGCCCTGGGCTCCAGCCGACTGTCCCTGGGGATGATGGGGAGAGGGACTCTCTGTGGGTTACTTCTAAGGGGCTGCTGATCACAATGGGACCTGTCTCAACCTCTTTATCCACATCTCTGTCCCCAGCCAGCTCTGAGACTCTCCTGGCATCAGTGGGAAAATTTATTTTGGAGGAAACAGGTATCCCAGGACAATTTAACCCCCGTGGCCTTAGAGATAGGGTAGGTGGAGAGTGGCTTCAGCTTCGCCACTAAAATTCTGTCTCCCATTGTCTAGAATCGGCTCACCCTTCTGGTGCCTTTGTTTTCTCCACTTTTGAAATGTCTCCCTCTTGTCCCTTGTCTGGTTGACTGAGCAGAACTGGGACTCATGGCTTTGTCACCTCAGGGAGGACACCTCACTTCTCGGAGCCTCAGTTTCCTCCTCTATAGATGTGGGGAACCTTGGCTCCCACAGCTTGGACACAGGGCTGTGTGGCCCTCCTCCCAGGAGCTTAGAATAGAAAGGACAAGGTCTCTGGCAGAGTCTGTCACTCATCTTTATTATAGGTTAGCAAGAGCGAGGTCTCAAAGGCAGCATCACTCCTCATCGTGCATTTTTTGCTGAGAAAAAAAATAAAAGGTATAAGTGGGCAGCTGGCAAGAGGGAGGAAGGGTGTGGGGAGGAATCTCTAGGGCTTTCAGGGGTTTAAGGAAGATACTCTTAGAAGGAGGGGTTTGGGCCTCAGAGATCTTAGCGTCCCATTTAGGAGTCCTTGTAGTTAAGTACATGTAGAGGTGCAGGCATCTATAAGGGTGCTCTGAACACGAAGGGGATTTTCAGGTATGGGTGCTATGGGAACCTGAGGACTATCCAAATAGAGGGTGAGGCTTGCCCACTCAGAAGGGCACTGATGTTGGAGGGTGTGCTGTTGTGAGGGTGACTAGCCAGGCCCTGGGGAGGGACCCACCTTGGCACCAATGTCACGGCTCTTGGCCCGCAGCTTGTTGACCTGGGACTCGGCGATGTCCGCCCGCTCCTCCGCCTCGTCCAGCTCATGCTGCACCTTGCGGAACTTGGACAGGTTGGTGTTGGCCTGCTCCTCCTGCAGGGGTTCAGAGTGTGGGAGGAGGAGGTGGAAGGGGGCAGGGGTAGGGGTTCTCAGCCTCCTAGTCTGGGGACCTCCTGTCCCTGACCTGGGCTCAGTACCCCACACCCATGTACCTGCGACAGCCTTACCAGGGGCATCCTGCTCCTGGCTTGGTTTCCTCCTCACACTTGTCCAGAACTCAGAATCCTTCATGGCCACCCACTGCCCAAGATGAATCCCATGCTGCCTGGTCCAGGGCCACTCAAATCCAGCTTCACTGCATCTGTCCAATTGTGACTCTGATAGATGCTCCCTGACCTTGGGTTTCCTGCACAGGTGTGCTCATCAGCACCTCATATCCACAATTTTCTGCCCACCCAGATGTCTTCCTCACTGTGCTATGCCTGGTCAAATCCCTTTCCAGGCTCAATTCCACTGCCATCTTCCAGCTATTAGTGCTATCCAGCCCCCTGACCTGCATTAGCAGCTACACTGTTTTCTCTTGGGCTTACTGGTGTATGGACTATAAGCGGCTTGTGGGAAGGTCCTGAGTCAAATAAGCATTGCTTTTGTTAACTCAGAATGCCTGACACAACTGAGCAAATATTTGAGAGTTGAAGAGAATAGCAAACCCTTTGTCCAGGCCCCACGCTGGGGTGGACACTCATTGGTTCTCACACGTAGGAGGTATGTTGATGAAAGAGTGGAGAAAACCATGAACTCACTGCCTCCTCGGCCTGGCGTTTGTAGGCCTTGACCTTCAGCTGTAGCTTGTCTACCAGGTCCTGTAGACGCAGCAGGTTCTTCTTGTCCTCCTCTGTCTGGGGGTGGATTGGTAGGAGAAACCAGTTTTGAGGTGGGAGCAAGTGCAGTCATCTTTCCCTCCCTCACTATTCTACTCTTCCTTCAATGGGCCGGGTCAAAGAGGTAGTGGGGAGAGTTCATCACTGATGCTACTTGTAGGTCAAAGGGCTAAGGCAATGTCCTCAGTCCAGGATCTCAAAAGCAATCTGAGGCCTTAAAGTTGGAAGCTGGGGGAGTGGCTCAGAACAAAACGAAATTCTTTCATCTGACAATATGGAGACATTGGGGCTATTCCAGCTATAACCTATCAGTTCCACCACAGATGCTCTTGGCCAGGAAGTAGAAGCAGATTCTTCTCCACCTGCTATAAAGGTTCATGGTCTTAAGCTAAACTGACTCTGGAGAATGTGAAAGAAAATTAATCTGAATACAGCTTCTCAAGGAGCAGGTGCCAGGAGGGCTGGGTGGCATTCCCAGATGGTGGCTCTGCATGGGGTCTGTGGAGGCCAGGAGGTGGGGCTAGGAAAATGCTTCCTTCTCCACTCCTGCTAATCTGGCCCCAGAGCAGCTGCAGGGCCCGTACCTGGTAGGTGAGCTCCTTGATGCGCCGCTCACTCTTCCTCATGCCCTTGACCGACTCCGCGTTACGCTTCTGCTCGGCCTCCAGCTCGTTCTCCAGCTCTCGCACCCGGGCCTCCAGCTTCTGCAGCTGCTTCTTGCCGCCCTTGAGGGCGATCTGCTCAGCCTCATCCAGCCGGTGCTGCAGGTCCTTGATGGTCTGCTCCATGTTCTTCTTCATGCGCTCCAGGTGGGCGCTGGTGTCCTGCTCCTTCTTCAGCTCCTCCGCCATCATGGCTGCCTGAGGACAGGAGAGAGGTGTAAAAGAACTGGGGCCCAGGCCTCTTCTCCCTCAAGGATCACGTCTTTCTCATCCTGGCATTTGCTCCCCGAGGCCCTCAAACCCGGGGAACTGCAGAGTCAATTTGTTACAGCGTAGTGGCCTGGCCTGGACCCAGAGCCCTTGTTCATGTCTTTAGGGAAGGTGAAAAGGTGAAGGGTCGCTCACATCCGTGATGGCCTTCTTGGCCTTCTCCTCAGCGTTCCTGCACTCCTGCACCGCCTCTTCCACTTCTGACTGGAGCTGGGTCAGATCCGACTCCATCTTCTTCTTCTGGTTGATGAGGCTGGTGTTCTAGGTAAAGGCGGAGAAAACTATTGAATGTATACTGATTCTACACTTTCGCCCAGAGAGAATTAACACTGGTCATTTAAAAAAAGTTTTGCTTTTAGAGTATTCCTTGTTTTTCACCTGCTTTCC